ATTTCATTGACGAAATAAGACGAGACTAAAATGTATTCAAAAAAAGATAAAAACCTCTTTATTTTTGTCAAAAAAGGAGACAAATTGTTATTGCGGACTGCTCTACACGCCTCTAATATGCGAGCTTTCATGAGTGTGGTTGCCAGATATCCAGATAAAAGTTCAAATCCCAGAATGAGAACTTCGCTGTTATAAGGATACATTTTCTGTCCGGTGTTTTGCTTATTTTAAGCAATCTGGCAACCATGCGCACACGTTCGCTCCTCATTGCAGAAGCGCCGCCGGCCATTATCTGAAAACACAGACAAACAAGCTGGAGTTTAGCGATCTAAATGAAAGTGTTCGAAGACATCCGGTCTGTGTTCTGTCATGAGATCTCGACTAGGCAATATTATTTGCGATTGTGGTTAAATGCAAAAGTAAATTTCTCAAATGACAACAATCATTACGATTATAATTGAGCAAAAATAATTTTGATCAGTTTAACCATTACAGCATGACGAAAATTTGACTAAAACCTGACTAAAATGCTCACACATTTCACTGACTTAAAATTGACTAAACAAAAACAGGACAAGGTTAACTAAATATCATATCTAAAATGTACATTTGAGTAAGACTAAGATGAAAATTTAAAATAGCTGACAAAATTAACACTAGTTAACATGTATATTGAAAATAGCAGAGGGCCTAAGACAGATCCTTGCAGCACTCCATAATTTACTGGTGTTAATTGAGATGATTCCCCATTTAAATAAACAAAATGATAACAGTCTGACAGGTTGGATCTAAACCATCTTAATGCCTGCCCTTGAATAGCCGTGTAGTTTTGTATTCAATCTATGAGTATGTCATGATCTATAGTGTCGAATACAGCACTAAGATCAAATAAAACTAGTAATGAGAAGCAGCCTTGGTCTGACGCAAGAAGCAAGTCATTTGTAATTTTAACAAGTGCAGTTTCTGTGCTATGATGGGACCTGAAACCTAAATGAAATTCTTTGTAAATATATTTTTTTGTAGGAAGGAGCACAATTGAGCAGACAACTTTTTTCTAAAATTTTAGACATCAACGGAAGATTTGAAATGGGGCTGTAATTTGCCAGCTCACTAGGATCTAGTTGTGGTTTCTTAATAAGAGGCATAATAACCGCCAGCTTAAAGGTAAGCCTCACAACACATCTGACCAGGTGCGTGAGCCGGCAACATTGCATGTACCCGAGGGAGTTTTAGCGGAATACGAGGGAATGGAATGAAGCCCAGCTCACAGTCCAGCTACTGAGGGTAAGCTGTTGCTGGCCTCTGAGCTAACTTATATTCTGGAGTTTGATCCCGGTTTCTCTCATCTCCTCAGGCCCTGCCAAATATCTCCTGTGTCTCCTGATTCTCCTGCCTCCCTCTCCCACCTCTTCTTCCAGAATCTACCTGTTCCTCGGCCTCACCTCCGCTGGCTCCTGGCTCATCCTCAGTCTGCTCCATTCTGTTGTGTGGATCCACCTCGGACCTTCCAGTCACCAGCTCCATATTGGGCGTGAGGACCCCTTGTCTCTGCCTTCAGTCTCTGAGTTCCAGACTCCACCTCAGCACTCTGACCCATCGGCTCAACCTTGGCTACTTGCTCCTTCGTCTCCACCATGGACCGTCATCCCACTGCTCCGCTGGGCTCCCTTGTCCCTCCGGCTCTGCCTTGGTCAGTCGTCGACCTGCCTCTGCCACGGGATTCTACTTCTTCAGCTACCACCTCCAACGGCTCCGTCTCCATCACTCATCCCCATGCTGTCATCGAGGTCTTCTCCACCATGGCTCCTCCCTCCCTCGACTACTCCATGGGTCTCAGTTCTGGCTGTGCTCTGGTTTCCCACCTGGCTCCCCCTGCTTCTTGCTCCTCCCTGGTTCCTCCCTCTGTCATCACCACCCTGGTTCCTCCCGCCATCACCATTTCCTGTTCCCTGTCGTTCCCTTGCTCCACGTCCTCCTCCAGAGCCCCCTGAGTTTCCTTAGTTCCTTTGTCTGTTCACTTCTGTGTTATGTGGTTGTGTTATTCTGTTTCCTGTGTTTTCCTTGCCTGTTAGATTTGTTGTATTAAAGACTGTTTTTGCGGATCACCTTGGTCTTCTTGCACTTTGTACAGCCAGCCACCAGTGACACTAACATTTCATTATGGGTATTCTGTAGCCGTTAAATGTAAATTGTTTGTACACTTGTTACTGCTGTGAATTATGGGATTTAATAAGTCCACTTGATAACATCCACTATAGTTTCGGACACCACTACAAATGGCTATTCCCTCAAATACGGCCCTATTTAAGGGTATAGGGGGTGAATTTAGTAATCATGATGACCTTGATTAGCTTGTCCAGGTGTGTTTGATTAGGGTTGGAGCTAAACTTTTCAGGAAAGTGGATCTCAAGGGCCAGAGTTGGCCACCCCTGTTTTAAAGGGATCGTGCCTTCTCCTTTGCTGGCCCTAGACCAGTGTTTCTCAAACCTGTCCCGAGGGCCCACCACCACTGCACATTTTGCATGTATTCACTCAAGGACAATGAGTATTTAAATATTTAAGAAAGGAAAGAGTTAGCCTCTTTTTTTACAGTTTCAAGAACAATATATACCAAAACATACTTTTAAAAATTCTACTAACTCTTGCATAAACACTTACACAGCGCATCAAACAAACTGAAAAAGACTGACAGCAAATACATATTAAAACATTTATAAAACATATATTTATAACAATAACATTACACAACAC